TTAAGGCACTCGTGAAAATGGTGCCCTGGTCTGATTCTATCTCGGCAGGAAGGCCTACCCGGGCAAACACGGACAAAACTGCGTTCACTACTTCCACGGAACTTAGCTCTTTTAGCGGGACCGCCTCTGGAAATTTAGTAGCTGCGCAGAATAAGGTCAGGATGTGACGGTAGCCTGAAGTTGTCTTGGGCAAAGGACCTACCTGTCAATTACCGACCTACGAAAGGGCTCCGTGATTATGGGTACCAGCTTCATTGGAAATTTCGCCTTACCTCCCGGCTTACCCACTCAGTGACACACATCGCAAGATTTTACAAACCTCTCTACATCTTTAAAGCATCCAGGTCAGTAGTATTCATGTAAAAGACGATTTTTCGTCTACTTTACGCCTAAGTGGCCTGACCATGATCCTCCATGCACCAAACTAAGCAAATCCTGAGGATACGCCTGAGGTACGACTACCTGGTCAAACTCTACTCCTCGCCTATCTAGATATTTTCGATAGAGTATGCCACTCCTCTTTTGGAATCTCACATTTGGTTTTGCGATTCCCTCTTTCGAACTGTCTTGGAATTGCTTAAGCGTCGGGTCACCCTTTTGTTCGGTTATTAATGAAGCGGGGCTCACCTGCAGCAGCCGACTGAAATTATCCGAAGTGGGAATGACACACAACTTTTTTGTAGTTCCTAGTACCTGGAATGTGTCACCCTCTGTGCTATCCTCTGTACTACCAGGGATCGGCTTGGGAGCAACGGCATTTTCTATTTGCTCGATAAACGAGGCGTAATGGACCCCTTCCAATTCGGGAGGAGGTTCATCGTCGCCTTTAGGAATGGTTGCCTCCGCGACTATGCCTTCTGCAGCCTGTTCTCGCACAAGTCGATTTGTTACCGTGGTGTCCAACTCGCAACCAGGCACGTTGTCAATTTGAGGCGTGTTTGCCTCAGTGAATGTAGCTCTCGCAGCCAGCGCACATGCCTTCGATCTAGTCAGTGCCTGCACTATGCCTTCTCCCAACGTAAGATTTTTCTTCTTCAGCATTTGATCTGACTTATTTGAAAATAAGTAAGGATACTGAGGGGGTAGATATGGCGATACCGCGGCTTCCGTTTCCAATGTACCAAAGGCGCCTTTAAGGACAACTTTAGCTACGGGAAGGCACTGACTGTTTGCTTCTACAGCTTGTCTAATCCAGGCACAGTCTCCTGAATACTGTCCGGACTGAACAAAGGACGCATGAACTACGTCCATAGTGGCTGCGGAGTCTCTAAGAACCCGACACTGCTTGCCGTTCACGGTAAGGTCGTACATATAGGGCTCTAACAACTTCATGTTCTCGCCGGCTTCATTTATAGATAAAAAGGCCACCTTTTCTTTCGGGCAATGTATCGCGAAGTGCCCTGTTTCGTGGCAATTGAAACAAGCCGCCGGTTTTTTCACCTCACATTGCCTTTCGCTTGCCTCTGCCGACGCCCCGTGGTTAGATGCCTTGTTTTCCTCACCCTTTTGTGCGAGACTTGTCGGTTGTTTTCTAAACGGCGCCTTATTCGGTCGTAGGAATTTTTCCCTTTTAGGCTCGCTGCTTGCCTCGAGGGCGCAGCGCGTAACGAATTCTTCAGCGAGCTCTGCGGCTTTTGTTACGGTGTTCACGTCTGGTCTATCGTGCACCCAGAACCTCACCTTTTCTGGTAACCTTTAATAGAATTGTTCCAGACCGATACACTCGAGCACCTTGCCATGATTCCCATACGCCTTTGCCTCTTTGAGCCACTCCCCCATGTTGGCCATTAACTCGTAAGCAAACTCCGGGTATGAATCACTGTTCTCTTTTACGGCGTTGCGAAATTTTTTTCTTAAACCTTCCGCTGACAGCCTGTATTTCTTGAGAAGGCTCGAGTTTACCTCACTGTACTCGTCAGCCTCCTCTTTCGTCCGGCGCACGATTACTTCAGATGCCTCCCCCGGAAGTAGGGACAACAAGCGTTGGGGCCATGTCTCCTGGTCAAAACCTTGCCTTTCGCAAGTTCTCTCAAAGTTGACGAGGAACAGCCCAATGTCCTCCCCTAGCTTGTGCGATCTCATTAGGTCCGTCATTTTGAACCTGACCCGCTCTGCGGTACCGGATGCCTCGCTGCCTCCTGCTCTACTATTATGGCTAATCTCTAGCTCGAGGCGCTTCATTTCAAGCTCGTGCTTTCGTATCTTATCTGCCTCGGCTTCTGCCGCTTTCCTTTCGGCCTCCGCCGCCTTTCCTTCGGCCTCGGCCGCCTTTCTTTTGGCCTCGGCCGCCTTTCTTTCGGCCTCTGCCGCTTGCCTCTCCTGAATCTCCTCGACACATTCTGACAGCTCGTCATCCTCCGCCCCCAATGCGAAAATTGCCTTTATCAGCTCTGGCTTTCTTTGAGAGTCCGACACCTCCAGATTCAACTCTCTTGCAAGTAGCAACAACATGAACTTTCGCAGGGGTTTCAGATTCATGGCTGCCTCCAGTACCGCTGTCTCTGCTCCACAAAGATTCCTGTCCTGCAACTAATTAACCTTGATGGCAACGACAGCTCTAGATTCCTGCCTTGCCTCAAGTTTTCCGTTAACTTAGTCTACAAATAAAGCTTCAAAAAGCTCTTACACGGAATCCTGCCCTGTCACTGTTAACCTTGACGCCACTGACAAAAAGAGCTTAACCAAGCTATCACACAGTTTCTGCCTGACGCAAGTTACCTGTTAACCCAATGACCAAGACAGCCCCTCTCTACCAGCTTTAACTTAACACATAGAGTAAATGCCTGGTGAAATTCAACAGAGGAAGCCGGAACTCACGCAGTTCGCAGTCATGTCTCCGGCGTCGTGCCTCTCAGAAGTGCCGTTCGATTCCCTCTGGAAGTCGATGAGCTCGTGTCATCCCTCTCCTATCGTCCCGTTGTCGGACTACGGGCTAACTCCGTCCAGTGGTCGCTTTAGGGGTTATCGGCATCCCACCGCTGCCACCAGTTGGTGGGTCTCCGGGTCCTGCCGGTCTCGTTTTCGGTAGCTGGTCCCGTAGCAGGATCCATCGTCCGACGATTCAGTGAGAAGAAGCGCCCGAACGAACTACAGAGATTTATTTACATGTTGAGAAGTGATCAACTGATCCAAAGAGAGAAGAGAGAGAGAGGTACAAAACGTCTTCGGCATTTTATAGCGCCGCGATGCCAACAGTGGGCGCATTGTCCGCATCGTCAGCCAATACGGTGGCCCCAGCACCTCGGCCACGAGGGAGGGGAAATACACCTCACAACACATGAAGGGGCACAACCTAACACGATGCCCAAATATGGTCACGACGCCCTAAAAATGCCCAAACATGGTCATGAACGCACAGCAGATTCCGGAATTTTCCCGGCGAGAGGGAGGAGCCTGAATGGGGAGGTGGGGGTCGATGACACAGTCGGTCATGAACCGGTTCTCCCCGCAACTTCTCTTGCTTGGTTCCCTAGCGCACAACCAGTGCGTTGACCTTTGTTTTCGCTTGGCTGCAAGGCCGTCTCAGGTGCAGGCTATCCCGGGAATGCGTTGACGATATTCCAGAGGGGTTCGCAAACCTTCGGAGAATCCCAACGCTGGGGCCAGTCGTAACAATATATACATTCACATACGTGAATGACGGTGGCGGTGGCTGTGGCGGCGACAGATAAAACCAGTTGAGACCGTCCGTATATTTGCTATTGCAAAAAAGTACATAGTGCCTTTCAGTGACATTTCAGCTGTCACTGAACAGGGACGGTGACATATATATTCAGATAGCCTACTTTTGCAACAATCACACTATTAAAAAACATTGTTTATAACGTACTCTGAACGCATCATGAAACTTCACTGCTGTTTTCGTTGTAAGTTCAACAATCACCAAACAGAACCATCCCATTAAAGTGTCAGCCCCTCCTTCTGGACACAATAAAGCTTGAGTAGCAAACTTTCAATAGGTGTCGGCAATGGGCTCAATGATATTTCATTGGGCCGACAATTACTCTCCAGTATAATATGCCAATATTGACCAATAGTATCGTCATAAGTTCTCTGTAAAGTGTTTCTAAGCATAGCTCCCTCTTCCATTATATCCAAACATAAAGAAAATATTTTTCAGCTACCTTGCCTCCTACTCTTGAGGAGGCAAGGTAGCTGGCAAGGTACCAACGCTACTCGAGCGATTTTGCTTGTGTGGCGTTGTACACAACACTTTCGCGGGAAATCATGGGAGTGATACACTGTGGAAAAAGTTGACCCCATATCTGCATGTTAATTTGCAAATTTCACCGAAAGACGATAGTTTTGCACGTTGAGAGGGTGAAAAAAACATTTCTTTCATGTTCTGCGCCAAAAAATCGGTGAGTGGTATTCTGGAGGCCCTGCATTAGAGTGCCTCGAGCTTGCAGCGGAGGCGAACGAATGCATCAAGTCACGTCACACGTGAAAAATGAGCGCTATCTGGCAGTTTTCTTGGAGAACGAAGCGCGCAGCTCTCGCGCCCGTCTCATAGGTGATAAGGTGTAGAACGCAAGGCGACGGGTAGGTGCCACCAGCGTGTCAGCTTAGCAAAGCGTTCGAAACACTCGCCTTTTCGTGCAGGCGTTGCATGGTCGGCGCAGCGTGCTGAACGGTAAGGTCTTATGAATTACTTATGTATGCCTTTTCTAGTAAAAGACGCACATACAGAATATATGAGTATTGTTATGGTGCCTCAGATATGCGCAATAATTGCTTTTTAATTGACAATCGCACAATTATGAACGCTGAAGCTTGAGCAACTTTGGTGAGTGCTGCGGATGGGGTCGGCCGTTTGGGGGTATCGACAGACAGACAGACAGACAGACAGACAGACAGACAGACAGACAGACAGACAGACAGACAGACAGACAGACAGACAGACAGACAGACAGACAGACAGACAGACAGACCAAAATTTTTGCGTCGAAGGTCCCTAAGAAAGACAATCGTCTTTAAAACTCTGCCCTCAGATTTCACAGCGGCCGGGTACACGAAACCTGTGCCGCTCGTCGGGGAGGCGAGCTCGCTGACGCTGCCGCTGGTGCTGCAGTACCTCACTCCGGGGTTTGTGTCCGCCATGGGACTGGGTGCCGTCTCGGCAGCGGTCATGTCCTCGTCGGACTCTTCCATTCTTAGCGCCGCGTCCATGTTCGCCTGGAATATCTACAGGCTTACCTTCCGACAGCAGGTGAGACTCGCCAAATAGAATTACTAAGGCCTGATTACGAGAGATATTCTGCACATCACAAGCATTGTTCTAGTCGGTTTTATCTAAACCAGCCAGTGATTTACCTCGGCCGCATATGTCTGGTTAGCACACACACGCGGCCGAGGTAGAGGCAACATGACAAGCGCTATTCAATTGGTCAAAATTTATATATAACCGACTAGTTTATTACTATAACCAAAAAGCTCAATGGAAGTTATTTAGGCAAGCTACTAGACATGTACATTGCATATCTTGACTCTTAGTCGAGCTTAAAACGGGGCTGAAGGTGTTTCTGCAGAAGGAGTAGTTGGGCGCACATCCTTGGCTACCAAGAGACAAGAAGTCCGTACATCGGATCACGGGAGGCCGCTCTGTGGAGTACAGAATAAAAGGGATGAACAAGGCAACGATTCAGTTTTAGGACGCGATAATTCAAAAAAGCTCCAGCGATATAGGCTCGTTTTGGGTATTAGTCTGGGTATTTTACCCAATTAAAATTTTTTGAGTTATTCTACTCTGTGAAGGAGGGTGACGGAAGCTCTGTGGCTCCTAAGTTGAACTGATTGATTTATATGTTGAATGTAACGTCCCAAAACCACCGTATAACTATGAAAGACGCCATAGTGGAGGGCTCCGGAGATTTCAACCACCTAGGGCTTTATAACTTCCACCCAATTATGAGCACACGGCCGACAGCATTTCCACCTCCAACAAAAATGCAGTCGTGATTTGATCCTGCGACCTGTGGGTTAGAACCCGAGCACCTTAGCCACCACGGCGGGGCGTATGGCCAGAAGTGACGCTGAACTTTAGAAGCCGCAAAATATTCATGAAAGGCAAAGGTAAAAACAACCCCTCAGACGGTAGCTCCTTTACGGTTTTGCATTTGAGCATTGAGCATATTTTTGCAATGTTATCCGATTCGACGCCATTTTTAGTGGACCAGTGATGAGCGTTGGCGTTTCCCTGATTTGCGTGTTGAAGCTTCTTCCAGTCGTAAATTTTTTAATCTTTAGTGGACCATCGGTGGCTAATGGTACTTGTATAACTTCAGTGATGCATACATGTGCTAAGGGTTTTCTCAACCGCACTTGGGTTTCATGCATGTTTCGCCCACACGTGTCTGCAGCCAAAGATAAATTTTATTTATTTATTTATTTATTCATCAGATACTGCCGGCTGCCTTTTGGGAGCCATGGCAGGAGTGGGTACATCACATTGCATCGTTTCAGTCAGCAGCCAAAATAAAAAAAAGAAAGAAAAACAGAACAAATGCACATATGTCTAATGATAACAACACATGCAGCCGAATGTGAACTCAAGACGTGAACATAAAAAACAAGTCCTACAGCGTTTGCAGTAATACACTGAGGTATGACACTGGAGCAATAACACATACAGGATCGAGTGATTGAACACCCGAAAGACGCATATAACATTTCAGAACATGAGTGAAATGGCCAACGAACCAAATAAGCATGTGAAACGAAAGACAGCTTACGTCAACAGTAGAATACCGCGAAATAAATGGTTACCCGCAAACATTTCAAGCTGTAAAAGAGAAAGAACCAAAAGAACTGCGCATAACACCACAGATAATCTTTCACGGAATTTGTGAACGCATGAACTGATGATAGGCCGACTATGTCACATGGAAGCTCGTTCCATTCCGCTATCGTTCGAGGAAAAAACGAAAATTGATACACCTTCGTCTTAATTCGTGGCCTTACAATCGTCTTACTGTGCTTTCATCTTGTTGGCCTTGCGCTGTTATACTGCATGTAATCAGTGAAGCCCATTCTAATGTTACCATTTACAATATTGTAAAGCATTTGCAGTCGATGCAGTTTCCTGCGTGATTCTAGCGTTGGAAGTTCGCTTAAATATCTGAGGTTAGTAATGGACACGTGCCTGCCATAAGAGTTGAAGATGAATCTTAGCGCTTTTTTTTTAACGCGTTCAATGCAATCGATGTCACATTTGGTGTGCGGGTCCCAAACTACGTCCGCATATTCTAATAGCGGTCTAACTAAAGTCGTGTAGGCCACAAGCTTAGTTTTAGGAGTGCAATGCATCATGCGATTTCTCAACATGTAAAGTTTTCTCAAAGCCTTGGAAACAATGAATTGCACATGACCACTCCAGCTTAGCGTAGAACTGATATGCAAACCCAAGTATTTAAATTGGTCTACTGAAGCTAATAGAACATTATTGATGCTATAGGTGCAAACCAGCGGCTCCTTCTTGCGTGTAACACTCATCTGAACACACTTGGAAACGTTTAGGCGCATATGCCATTTTGAGCACCAGTTGCTAACAGCTGCTAAGAAGTTGTTTAGTATTTGTTGATCTTTCACTGACTGAATGTGCATGTATGCAACGCAGCCGTCTGTAACTAAACGGCAACATACTGGTGATGTAATCTGCAAATCATTAATATAGATTAAAAAGAGTAACGGGCCGAGCACCGAACCCTGAGGAACGCCTGAAAGAACAGATGCAAATTCTGAGTCCGAATTGCCTATGTGAACAAACTGCCCACGCCGTGTAAGATACGAGTCGAGCCACTGTACTATCCGAAGATTGTCAAAAAGGCATCGGATCTTTAACATTAAATGTCGGTGTGACACACAGTCGAAGGCTTTTTCAAAATCAAGAAAAACCATGTCGATCTGTCCGCCCTTGTCAAGCATTACCATTAGATCATTTACAGTGTGAATGAGTTGCGTTGTAGTGGACAAACCGCGCCGAAAACCATGCTGACTACTTAAAAAATTATTGTTGTCCTCTAAGAAAGAACAGATATGCTTAAATATGAAATGTTCCAAAACCTTGCTACAAGTGCACAGTAGCGAAACTGGTCTGTAGTTGATTACTTTAAGTTTGTCACCAGTCTTATAAATAAGCACCACTTTTCCAGTTTTCCATTCTAAAGGTATTTCCGCTGTCCGTATACTTTCTTTAAAGATTATGTTCAGATACTTCGCGCACCATTCGGCGTATCTGCGCAGGAACATATTTGGTATGCCATCCGGGCCGGTAGATTTTTTAGTGTCTAATTCGAGTAGCGCCGAAAAATTGCCGCTCTCGTTGATCTCTATATCCCGGATAGCATAACTAGTTTTCGGATATGACGAGGGCTGAACGGTGGCGCGAGAAAACACAGACGAAAAGTAGTGAATAAATGTATTGGCTATACAGTTACTGTCATCGGTGATAGTGTCATCAAGTTTCATTTTGCTAATAGCCTCATTCTTATTCGTTAGGTGCAACCAGAACTTTCTTGGGTCATTTGCCAAAAAATGATGCATTTTGACGTTGAAGAAATGGAACTTGGATAGGTTTATATTTGTGCGCAATTCATCTCGGAGTAACTGTAGGGACACCGCACCTCTGTTCCCAGCCGAGTGATGTAATCGCTTGATACGGCGTTTTAACTGTAATATTTCGCGAGTGACCCAGGGATTCCGCCAACTACGCTTTTTTTGTCTAGTAGGGACATAATTGCTAATGCATTAACAACAGCCTTGAAATGAATCCACAAATCTTGGACAGTAGAATTTCCAGTAGCATAAATATGCTGAAAAATATCAAAATCTTCTTCCAGAAGGTCTAGTACACTCTCATCTTGAGCACAGTTAAAATCAGGGAATTTTTTAGTGACGTTTTCGCCTTTATCCTCGAGTCTCGCATACGACCCGCAAAAAGGACGATGTTGTGATCGGATAGCCCAGGCAAATACGACATGTCTTAGCCTACAGCAGTAATATTTTCCGAAACGAAAAAAAGATCAAGAACTTTTCTAGAAGTAGCTGATACACGCGTAGGCTGATCCACAAGACGAAACGATAAAGCAATATCAGACGAAACAATAAAGCAATATCAAGCATCAACTCGGAATGCTGACATGATGAAGGAACACACAGTAGGTCCCAGTTAATTTTTGGAAGGTTGGAAGAAGAAATGTAGAAAAAGCGGTAATGCTGGCTAGCTAATGTGCTTGCTCGCATTCACTTTTGGTAGCGCAAAAAAATGAAGACGAAGACACAAGAGAGGACACACAAGCAGGACGGCTGCTAAATGTCCACTTATTTTACTACACGGAAGTGCTTAATACTAAAAGAAAAAAAAAAAAACCGTTGGACAGGCATGCGCGCGCAACAACATACTCGTGGGAGTTCTTTTTTTTGTGCACTTTTCACGTCGCCACTTCGCAACATATGGATTCAAATAAAATTTTTTTTTTCTCTGACACAGCAACCGAAAAAACAGTGACGCAGATGCTTTTATTCACGCTGATAGAAAATGCTTCTGTAATTTCTCGCGTCACCTCGTCCCTGCATTTTTGAAGCACACGTGTATTAGTTAAATATGCACCACAAACGAACTTGCGGCAACGGTGTGCCAAATGTCTCCCACCGTCTGTTCTCGCATTGTCATTAAATAAAGGAAACAGCGATCATACAAACCAAAAATAAGCAAATGCCTAAAATACAACGAATACTACTAAGAAAACTCGCTAGCTTCGAAGCCGGCCAGACAGTCACCCCCTGAAAAAAGGACACAATGGGTCTCAAAACGAAGGACCAGTTTTAAATTTAACATAAAAAATATAGACTAAAAGTGCCTGAAGGGTTTGCTTTATGCGTGCAATAACTAAATTACCTATATTCCGGTACATTTGCAGAATATACAAGAGCTGCGTATAACTAGCAAAGTTAATGATAGCAGAAGTGATGTTCCGTCTAAAATCAGAAGACGAAAACCAGTTTAGGTCGCGATATGCTTAAAAAAGTTAAAACAGCTGTAGATATGAGAAAGCTTGTGGCATGTGTAAATTCAAGCGAAGATGTTTTATTGATTCAGTGCAAATCATTGCACAGTTTTATGGCTCGTAAGGTCGTCATCATTTTGACGTGGTTACTATATACCACAGCCAAAATAAAGTTAAAGCTATGTCCGAACCAGGTACTATTGTT